GCTCCGTCGGATTAGGATAACCCACATCAGTAGGTGGTGAATATCGGTGATGGGTGGCAGTGGTGGTCAGGGCCTCAGGGGCTGGTCGTGGCGGTGGTGGGTGGGGTCAAGCGATATTTAGAAGCTAAGTTTTGCTTGTTAGCATAATCTTCTTATTTTTTATTAGTTAACATAAACTCTATCGTTGATAAGTTATTAAAAATAAATAAGCAAAACAGGTTATTGGGTTGGGTTCGTGTTATTCGGGTTACCAGTAAGTCAGGTTCATGTCCACTTTTTTGACCCGCTTTCAAGTTGATTGGATTCAGATTAAGTGATCAATTTCAGACTGGACTCGAACATGATCCGTTAACCTATTTTGACATCTCTAGCTAGAGGGATTTCGTATTCTTGCACGCTATCGCAGTCGCCGGTTTTGACTTTGATCACTCCAATTTCTTTTGTAGACTTTTCGTTTTCTTTGGGTTCCCTCATCAGTCTTAACTGGTCAAAAGACAGGAGGATGTTCACATGAAATCACTTATCTATTTTTTTTTTTCCTGTGACTGGAGCTGCATTTGCCTTGGAGACTTTGCTCTGCCTTTGCGAGATTGAGCTTACAAGCCGAGCAAAGTTGAGACTGAGCTTGATTTTGTTTAATATAGGAGCTTAACTCGAGCTCATTTAATATAAGAGCTCGAGTATAGGCTCGAGCTCAAACTCATGGCTCAATATGATCCACTCGTAAACTTGCTAATGAGTCGAGCTTGAGCCGGCTCAGCGTCCGTGAGCTACACATGAGAAAGGCAAGTCCAAAGGTGAACCAATTTCAGTCAATGCAATTCAACAAATTCATAGCTGATATGGAATTTAGGCTTTATTTGCGACAGCTTTCTTACTACTTTCTAAAATAGCTTTTTGATGCAAAAACTTAATGAACTAGAAATTCTTGTACTAGAAAGTTGTTATGAAAATTAGCAAGAAAACTGTAAGTCTTAGCTTCGTTTGGATGACTTTTTTACTGCTTCTTAAAGCAGCTGTCTATTAATTTTTTTTTTTACTAAAAAGCTGTTTTAAGAAGCAGTAAAAAAGCCACCCCTCCTGACTATAAAATTATAGTTCACATGACTTCTGAAATAATTTTCAAAATTTTAAATTAAATTTTGATATTTTTAAAGCAGAAAATTATATATCCATACTAATCATATAAATTATGCGAGCCAAATATAATTGTCAACCGATTATTTATATTTTTTTTTTTCAATCTGTAGTTGTTAGCCTCTTTCCTTCCATCTTCCTTTTTATTTTCTTAACAAAAATTTGAACCTATAACTTTTTTTTTTTGAAATGATGTGAATAAAGATTATATTAATAGTTATTTAGAGAGCTCTGTGTGCTATAATTTTAATTTTTTTAATTAAAAATATATTTTTAAAGTGTAATTATTTGATCTAAAAATGATTATTTGATCATAATTTTAATAAAAAAATTATGATTTTATGACACCAACAAAAATCATAATATTTTAAAGAAATTAAATATAATATTAAAAAATAGCTAGAATAATAATTAATAGTTACTCATATTTTTAAAGAAAATGCAATTTTAATTTAAATTCATGATAGTGTCTATTAGATTCTATTAAAAAATAAGGACAATTTTAATATTAGCAATTAGTTTATCTCAAAATTTTATTATTTACTTTTATGCCATCCATTTAAAAACAAAAAAACTTTAGCCAAAATGTAAAGAGTGAGTTGAGCTCAAGCCACCATCTTCTTAAGCTTGAGTTGGGTTAATCAATTGAGTTCGAGCTCAAACTCAAACTCAATTTTATGAGTTTGAGTTAGTTCACGAGCCTGTTCATTTATTATAAAAGAGAAATAATTTTCATTTAATCATTTTTTATAATTAAATGACAAAAAAAGAAATTAAATGAGAAATAATAAGAAACAATTTGATCTAAGAATATGTGATTTAGTTTTTAAATATTGTTAATAAGTTTATATTTTAACTCTTGAATCCTAATATTTTTCATGTTTATTTTATATTAATGTTTCATAAACGAGTTGACTAACGAGCTAACTAGTTGAGTTAGGGTTAACTAAAATTTGGCTCATTAGCGCATCGAGCTAAATTAATAAGTCATTTATCGAGCTAAGACCAAGCCAGCTCACGAGTCTATTCACAGACACTAAAAGCATCTTAATATATGTCTAAATATATCCAAATCAAGCACTCAAAAGTATAATTAATTGCTTGGCGAGACCATTTATGATCAAAACAATTCTCAATTTTGTATTTTTATGGTCGAACTTAGCATCTTGACATGATAAATCTAACTAACTCAAGATCATTTGATTTTGATTTCGTTAAGATACAAATATATTTTAAAAACAATCAATACTAAAGAGGATCAATTCAGATCGTCCAACAGCGTGCCATGCCTGATTCATGGTCAAAATGATAACAAACTTTGCGACTGATACAGTTCCAAAGCTCTGCTTGCTAGCACACTTGATACAATTCAGATCGTTTATGCCAACTGTCGATGCCACCGCTGCCTGTCATGATTTTGATATGTCCATCATCCATTATCATATGTAGGTCATTATTTTGCTTCATAATAACTTCTCCTTTGATGATAATAAATGATATATTATAATGTTCAAATTAGATAGTGAAACTATTTCAATTAAGTCATAATATTTTCTCTTATAAAAATTGTCATATAAAAAAATCTTAATATCATTTAATCCATCCTTTGTATTCACAAATACTATAATACCCAATAAAATATATAAAAATGGAATATAAATTATTCAACTCAATTGCTGCCGACATCACAATTTGTGCCAACTTTATCAATGTAATTTATCTTTATGGTACTGTGTTCTCAGCATAAACATGAGTCCTTTCAAAACCAAACCATTCGATTGCATTAAAGATTCCGTGTAAAGCCAAATCAATTCAACAAAATTTTGATCTTCTAATAAATATAAAGCGTTCCATCCATACATCAATTTAATATTCCTTTTCGACCGTTCAATCATATGCATGATTTGTGATGAATAATTTAATTCTTATTGCCAAAGCATCAACTTTAACTTACCTAACATAATAAATTTCTAAAATATAAAAATAATATAATTGAAATCAAATTGAATTTAAAACTTACAAATTTAAATAATATAAAAAATAATATTTTAAAATATTGAAAAACATATAATATTTTAAATTTTAAAATTAATTTTTTAGATCCCTAAAAATATAATTTTTTATTGTTAATAATAACCTATTAGCAATTTATCACCCAGATTTTTTACAATCTGTGTAAGATAAAAAGCTAATATTAATATTAAAATAAATATAAAAAAATATTAAAAACAATATTAATATTTATATTAATAAATAGCACAAATCTTAAAGCATTTTTAAATATGTTGAAAAATATAAAAAATATGTTAAATTTTTTTGGCAAAATTTTTGACGATTTAAATTTATTAAAAATTATATTTAAATCATATATTAGAAATAACAAAAAGTATGTAAAATGTCGCAAAATAATAATTTTACTTATTAAACTTATTTTTAGCAGCAGCAATATAAAATTTTTTATAGTTATGAATCATGCGTTGTGCGATTTAAGAATGTTGGTGCACCTATTAGCGAACTATCAATAGATTTTTTATAATTTGAATATAATGGAAAAACAAATATTAATATAAATAAAAAATAAAAATAATTTAACTACTAAAAATATTCAAAGGCATTAATATATTACTATATATATAATAAATATATATATATATATTATATATAAATTTATAAATATATATATAAGTATATATATTATATTATAAAATATACTAATCTGAAAGCATTTATATAAAAATTATATTCAGTTTAAAATGGCTTGCTGAAATACACTTGGCCATAAAAATAATTTCTCACAATTGAAAGATATTTAAAATAAATAAATAAATGAGCTGTCACCACATATTTTTCCACTTGTATTAATTAATTTATTTCATAATTAAAAAAAAAACACTTTCTGCTCCCATAAATGAATACAGAAGATTAGTTAAAGGCTAACATTCCTCAAAATATTTTCAAATTTTTTTTATTTTAATAACAAGAGTAAATATTAATATTTATCTAAATAATTTTCAAAACTTTAATTTTGAACTCATATATAAGTTTTTATTTTTTATCAATTTTGAATTTCATTTTTTAATTTTTAATTTTCAATTTTTTAGTATATATATATATATTATATATATATTATATATATATATTATATATATTATATATATATTATATATATATATATATATATATATATTAATCTCTTAGAGGATATGTAAAAATTTTAGTTTTTATGATTTGGGCAATTTGATAGCTTTGGTGCTGAACTTTGATGAGATTTAGGCTCATTGGGATGATTTCTTTTCTGCTTCTTAAAGAATTTTTTATTTAAAAATCTAAAATTTTGAACTCAAAATGCTTTTAAGAAGCAGAAAGAAAGTCTTCTTTGTACAACTTTTCTTACTATTTTAAAAGCAACTTTTTAATATAAAAAAAATTTATTTTTAAAAATTTTTAACAAAAAATTACTTTAAAAAATAATAAGAAAATTGTCTCAAATGAAACGTTAAAGCTACAACGTTATTGTATGATTTTAATGAAAAATGAGTGTAAGATATTCCAACAATAAGAGTCTTAAAAATGTTTTATGCTTGGTTGATGAAAATGGAATGAAGAGTATATTTTGATGAATTCTAAGTTCAGTATTTATGTAATTCATTTTTTATTTATTTCAAATTCATTCAAATTTGACTCAATTTTAAGTACATGACAAGCTACTAATTCCGCTCTTGCCATCATCCGTTTGTAGATTGCCACCTATCTTAGGCCAACAACTGTGTGCCATCACTGTAGTTGCATGTCGCTCTCCATCGCCGTCGACCACCTGCCACCATCATGATTAAATTTTACATAACATTTATTTTACTTCGAATAAAATAAAAATAATCTCCTATCTTATGCATTTAATTATATAAAATATATGATAAAGACATATTTTTATAAATAAATATTTATAATGAAATAATAAAAAAACATTCTGGTAAATTTTGTTCCAATGAAAAAGTAGATTGGGATGGGGGGGTTGAAGATGAAGTGGGAAATGAGAATTGAGGAAAAACACGAGAAAAAGAAATTACAAAAAAGTCCAAAAGCTAAGCAAGAGCTCTGTTGCTAGTCTTTTTGGAGTCAATCATTTACTTCTTCCGTTTTCATTCGAGAGAATCAGGTTCGCCTTCTGGCAATTTGAGAAAGGAACCGACTGAAAAAGGAGTGATTTTGAGCCGCTTTATCGGATTTCTTCTGCTTCGGATCTCTTTTCTCGATGGCGGTGAGCTGTTTAATGGATTTTTTTGACTTGTTTCTGTTACTTTCAGTGCTGTTACCGTACTTCAACACAATAGTTTTTGGTGTTTTGTTTCTGGTTGGGTGAAATTCGAGATGCTTTAAGGGTGACTTTGATGAGAGTTTTTTTATATGGGAAATTCTGGAGATGGTGAAAATACTCAGATTTGTGTTCTAGACAGGAGGTTGATATGTTCCAGGAAAATTTTGAAAAATTTCAATGTTATTCACTTTTTGTGCTTGCTTATTAGTGATTTTGTTTTGTTGTTTTTCTGGCGTTTGTGATTTTGTCTGTTATTGCTTGATTTGTTTGTAGTGCTTCAGTGATTTTATTTGTTCTTGGTTGTCAGATGAAGCTTTTGCTGCTTGAATTGTGTGGCCTCGTTCAAGTTTTCATTTTTCATTTTGAATGAAAAATGGTGAATTTTCCTTTTTGGGGGGGAAGATTTCTCGAGGAGTAGATCCTAGAAATGAGAAATTATTAAATGCGGATAGTAACTTGCATGTGCTTGATGATTTCTCTTAGAACTTTGATATGAGAATGTATTGGATTCCTATTTGAAGGTTTACTCTTTTGATTGATGTTTTTTTTAAATGGAAGGTTGAGCATTATTAGTTTTCAAGGAAAAAAAGCATCATTAGTTAGATGGAGCTTCCAATGAGGAGCTTAAGGCTTCGTTTGAGATGACTTTTTTGTTACTTCTTAAAGCATTTTTTTAGTACAAAATTAAAATTTTTGTACTAGAAAGCTGCTTTAAGAATCAACAAAAAAGTCGTCTCAAACGAAGCCTAAGTTTGTGGGAATGAATTATAGATCTCCAAGCAATGCTTTATCAAAGGTAAGCTTTAGATGAAACTAATGCTACACTCTTTTGCCTTCTAGAACTATGTTGTATGGCTAATCAACTGCTACTTCGAATGCATGGTTAGTAGCAGCACAAATTAACTAAATTTTATCACTAAGTGCTTCATTTTTGTCAAGCTGATTTTATGAAGGTGATGTTTACTTCCATTACTCTCCATATTGTTTGTAGAATTCTGTTGTACATCACATTACATCTTTACATTTTATACCACTTGATTGGTATCAGTCTATCAGATTTCTTTTCTATTTTCACGGAATACTGATCTTTTCTAGTTTTAAAGTATAGGAAATAAAGTCTGCACATGAAATTTCACTTGCTAACTATTTAACAAAGAATGCCATTAAAGCTTCTCAAAATTGCCAAAAAAAGGTAAAATAATTCTTCTAGTTTCCAAATGACAGATCCATCTTAATATCTTGAATTACAATATTGTGAGGAAGTAGGGTGATCAGGCTGTTGGGCTCAGCAAACAGGGAAAGTCCTCAGGTGTCCAGCAAGGTGAAAGAGAGGGACTTTGTGTCATCTTCGTCGTGTTCTTGGCATTTTCTTGCAGAGCTTTTACATCATGAGAAATATTGAATCTAGTATAAGAGGAGAACAATTGGCAATAGTGTTAGGGGAAGTAATGAAAAGGAAGAAGGTAGGGAGATCAGGTTTGGATGCCACCTAAATAGAATGATTGTGATTGGATTAGCATAGAAATATGCATCTAGGTTATTTGTTTTCAGTAGAGAGATGTGGCACCTGAGAAGAAATAAGACTTTCAAAATCTGGATTATATTATGCTGTCTTGATTTATTAATTTGATTTCTTAGGGATGGAGATAACCTTGTGATCCTTTCCTCCTGTTGAAATCTGTAAATGAGAGCCTAAGGAATTTAAAACTAATTTATTGTGAAATGACATATTATGAACTAAGGCAATTTTATCTAGGATAGATGCATTCTAAAGCATTTTTACAGGTGGAGTGTAACAAAATGTAATTACTATTGCTCCACTACTAATGATAAAATGGAATGATGTAATGCAACCTGAATAAAAGTAGAGGATGTGATTATGCTAATTGCTTGCTAAGTCTTAGTTGTAGATCTTTAATAAATAACCATTAAATTCCTCCAATCAAGGATACATATCTACTTTCTTCTCGAATTAGAGGTTTTCGGACTTGCAACCTTTTATCGCCCCTCTAGTGTTGTCTCAATCTCTTGATATCTTGCCCTATGAGGACCATAGACAAATATGAGCTTACAAATCTGATTACCACCACTTTGAATTGCTTTAATTGTATTATTTGGAGCCACGAAATGTCTCAAAGGATGTCAAGCAAGGGAGTATATAATTGGTGATGAACATGTACCAACTAAACTTCTGGATGAATTGCTTGAGGATTTACTTGAACATAAGATGAACTCATTTGAAAAAAAATCATAAAATTATTACCTGAATTCACAGCGCTTCCACTCTTACCAATCATACTCAACTTGGTAGATATGATACATCAAAAGCACTTTGAGACTTTCTTTCCATTCGATTTTTCACAATTGGGTTATTTCATTGATATCAATTATACTCACCCTTCATAATCTCTTATGAGGTTTATGGTAGACCGGTCAAGCCGGTCCATACAGGACCGGCTTGCGAAACAAAGGCGGGAATGCGGAGATCGGGCAATCCCAACCCTCAAGCGGAGAGATTTAGGAAAGTTTTTTGAGGGATTTTGGAGGGAAATTTGAATATAGAGACTTTTTAGAGATTTGCTTTTAAATTGTATGCATTAAATAGTTTATTTTCTATGATGCACCGACACTTCTCCTCAAAGAGGCGTGCAGTGTCTGACACCGTGTCCGACACGACACTCGTCCGACACTCCTCCGACACGTGTCGGACACGCCGAAAATGTGTCTGATTAAAAAAATATTTAAAATAAATTGGACATGCGTGTCCGACACGAGTATCTTAAATATTTTATAATTTTTTTAAAATATAATTTCATATTTTTTGGCGAGATTTAAACTAAATTTCTTATTTTCTATCCACAACAATAAATCAACGTCTACATTTAATACCCTTCATCGAATTTTCTCATTTTTATTTTCTTTGGTAGTTAAGGTATTTTCATCTCCTCTCTTTTTGCTCAATTACAAATCTTTTTCTTGTTGAACCAAAGTTGAAAACAGTGATATTCAATGATGATGATAATAAATGCCAAAAATAAACCTCTAAAGCTAATCCTAGTAGTTGAAGCTTGAATGCTTGATGTTGTAGTAAGTGATTATTTGTTTATATTTTTGTGGTTGTACTAGACATTTTGTACAAAATATTTTATATTATAAGGTAGAAAATTATCATGTCATTCATTTATTATTGTTTGTCATTTTTAATATGATATTACACTAATATATATACATTATATAAAAAAATGTATTGTCGTGTCCGCGCCGTACCCGTGTCCTATATTTTCAAAAAAAGCCGTGTCCCGTGTCGTGTCCGTGTCACTGGGTCCGTGTCCGTGCATCATAGTTTATTTTCCTAGGGTTAGGGCATCTTTAATTTGGTTGAAATTTGAGATCTCTTAGATTTAGGTTTTCTTTTGGGCTCTAGCTGCGTCTAGAAATTTGGGAGAGATTGATCCTCCTCTCGAATAGACGATCAATTGTATCTTGCTATTTTCCGTTTCCCTTTCATTAAATAATGCAAATTATCTACTATTTTCGTGGTTTTGTGCGGATTTTTTTGGAGAATTCTCGCTGTTTGTCGAAGATTGATATGAAATACTTGAGATCTACAAGCGTTTCCTATCAAATTGGTATCAGAGCATGTTGATCAAAGGGGAACCAATGGCCAGAAGGAAAGTGAAAGTTTTGGAGGGAGAGCTTGGACAACTCAAAGTAGATTTTGAGGAGAAGATTGTTGATTTTCAAAATCAGATTGCATCCGTCAATGAAAGGATGAGGGAAAAGTTCGTCGTGGTAGAAGACATATTGAAGAAATTGCTTGAAGCCAAAACCAAACATGTGATATCGAAAGCAAAGGAAACTACCGGCAGCCATGAAAGAGATGGGAACCCTAACACGTTTAGGTGAAGGAAAAATCCAGAAGTGGAGATCCTGGAGGGAGAAGATGGAATGCCTTATATAGAACCAATTTCTATAGAGGAGATGAGCATTGGCTGCGCAAGACGGGGTGCTGAACTTGAAAAGAGAAGGGATGATTTTGATCACCGGAGTGCTAATTTTGAAAGAAGAAGAGAGGATTTGGATGAAGGGTATGGGTATGATCGCCGGAGGGAAGATCATGACAATTGGGGACTACCTCCTCTTCGAGGAATGGGAGGTTATGAAGGATTTAGGTGAAACAGATGTGACTCGAGGGTGAGGAAACTGAAGATGTCAATCTTTGAGAGGGAGGATGTGCAGTGGTGGATTTACAAGGTAGAAAGATATTTTGTCGTAAATGGGCTTACAAAGCAGGAGAGACTCATGGAAGCAGGCCTATGTTTGGAAGGGAAGGCTTTGTTTTGGTATCAGTGGAAGGACATGCGATGTCCCATACAGAGTTGGAGAGAGAGTTCAAAGATTATTTGGTAGAATGTTTCCAAATTGGCAAGGGAGGAGACTTCTAAGAGCAGTTCTTCGCCTTGACACAGGAGGGTTCAATGACGGAGTACCGGGAGAGATTTAAGTACTTTGCTAGCCATTTTGACTGCCTTCCTGAGACAGTACTAGAGAGAAATTTCATGAAGGGACTGACACCAGAGATTCGGGCAGTTGTTAGGGTAATGAGGCCTCGTGACTTGGGATAGGCTATGGAACTAGCTCAGTTGGTGTAGGATCAGAGGCACCTGGAGAGAGAAACTAGAGGTAGTAGCTCAGTAGGCTCATACAGGATGATCACCACCTTATTGGCATCCAAGGAACCAACACTGGATACTCTTCGGGGAATTTCAAAGGAAAAGACTGCAGGAGGAAGGTCTGGGGACAACATCAAGAAGCTCACGGAAACAGAATTACATAAGAAGAGGGTGAAGGGGCTCTATTTCAGATGCAACGAGAAGTATACTCTGGGGCACAAGTGTAAGGACCGAACTCTTTAAGTTTTAATTGTTTGTGATGATGAGTAA